TGCCTTTTGTGATAATAAATTAGTTGGTTCATTTCTTATTAATGCTTACAGTCCTCTGCTAAATTGGCACGGTTGATTCTAAGTCTCTCCCCTGACTGTAACAATACTCATGTGAAAATAGTTTATTTTAAGACCGGGGACAAATTCGATACAGTAATAAATGTGTAATCGATTGACGTAGCTGATAGTTAAATAAATTAAATCATGTCATGATAAATTGTAAGGATAAAATATAAAGCTTAATTATTATTAGGATTATTTTTTTTTTTATTTCACTTTTTCGTTCTTTGCAATTTTCTTTACCCGCTAGCAAAATCTCAAGGATATCGTTTTTACCTCGCAATACATTCGAAGATTTGCTTTCCACATATCTTTACTAGGTGATGTAGAACCTTTATAACACGTGAAAACTTTGATTTTTGTTATTAAGGTTTTATAAGATCCAGCAAATATAACAATAGGGAATGCGAAAAATCGTTATTGGGCAAAAATGTATTTTCAATACATGATCTCGAAACACAACTTATTAAATTTAGCTCAGACCTACTTGTGTTCAATGGGTCACGACAAGTTTCCAGAATTGGAGAGTATTTCTTCAATGCTCATAAGCTTTTGAGAAATGTTTATTATGCAATTGCAAAAATGTGTGACAAAAATAATTGTGGATCTAAAAAAATGAATGAGCCCTGTGAGAATAGTTGTCATCTCACTAAACATATATGCAAAAAACTTCGTATAATGTTTTTAAATTTAATTAATTTGCAATGCACTGTGTTACGAATAACTCTTTCCTGAAACGACTTAAATTCCAAAAAACAGCAAACACAATGAAATAATTTGGAATACACTTATTTTGTTGTTTCTATTACAGCTTATGTTTATTCAGAAAAGATTCTAAATCTACAATAGTTCCATTCCGATATACGACATTTATAATCCTAAATTTTGATTTGACAGTAATTTGATAATAGCGTTTACCATCTTACCTCCATTTATTCACAAAAATTTATTTGGTGAACATAAAGATCTTTTACTAATTGACATATTTAAGTAACTATTTGTGTTCGTGGTATTTTCATTACGTTGATTTAATTAGTTAGAGTATCTAAATAAGCTAATTAGATCCATAGCATTTACAATCACGCTATATCTTTTTAGTATTTTATTTGTGCTAATTCAAGAACTTATTATTAACCGATGTATTTAAATAAGCTATTCGAATTAGAGTTAATACCTCACTATGTTTTTATATCCGGATATATCCGAATATAAAATAAATCCGGATTTAAATTACTATGTTTTACTATAATTTTATGACAAAATATCAATCTGGATATATATATCCGGATTGAAGTATTAACTCTAATTCGAATTAATAGCGTTCCAATTGATACTCATTTACTTGTTACATTTGTAGCTATTAAACAGAATGAAATCTTCTTAGAAATATTTGTAGCAAGACTTGATAAACTATTATAACAATATATGAGATGCGTGTTATTTCCATAAGTTATTTTAAAATTTATTTGTTGCAAAAAAAAACAACTACAGTATAATAATAAATTAGCAATTCAAAAAGGTAGGTTAATATGTGATTTAAAGCAATTACTTTTAAATCAAGTAAAATTCTATATCTAACTTAATTTCAATTGATTTCAACTTAGATAGATCTATTTTTGATGAATCTAATCTAGATTCGCCAATTTTACAATCCTCAAGCTTAATTGTCCATTGACTAAATGGCGTTGGAACAAAATAAATATCTGACTTAAATGACACATCTGTTACAATTTTATTTGGTACTTTATATCTAAACTCTTGAGCTGCTCCATATATTGATCTAAAATGATAAATTTTCCATTTATATCTATCATTAAACATGTTGTTGTTGCTAATAGAAAGAGAAATTTCGTCATTTTCGGACCCAATACTCTCCAAAAATACTCCAAAATTAATGATTCGAACACGTTCATATCGCAGAAATTCGGAGTGATCCAATGGAATCTCAAAAGTAATAAATCTATCACTCTTAAATTTTTTAATATAATTTTCCTCAGTAAGACGAATTGAATGTGCATATTCCTTCGAAGTTTGAGGTTGACGCCCAAATTTATAGTATGTGTTTTCTAATTCTTGATAAATTTTATTATTATCTTT